CTCAAAATGATCTTAACCAACCCAGAAGGGAGGAAGGAGAGCGAGGAGACCATTATCCAGACAGATGAAGACGGTATGTGTAAATGCTGTTACAGAAATTACATCCAAGGCCAGTCTAGACAGGTGGAAGGAGATGACTTTCTGTGTTACAATGTGTCCTGAAGGATGGAAGTTCTCTTCTATTAATGTATTAATTAGCCCTAAAACAGTAGCTGTAAAAGTATTATAGCTGTCACCCTGCATATATAGCCCAAACTGTCCATGTAGCGCAAGTCAAGCTCAATCTCTCTCATGAGAGAAAAAGGAGGGTGGCTTCCCAGTCATTCCAAAAATGTGCTAACGCAGGTGACAAGAAACACATGGTGGTGTTAGGTGAAGGCTTCTTCACAGTATTAGATGTAGTATTTGAAAATTCTAATAAATCTGTAAATTTATATTGAAGTTTTGAGTTCAGTGCTTAAAGACTCTATTCAAGATTTAAAACCTCTTCAGTAAATGTACGTGAGCAATAATTTATTTTGCAGGTTACAGTATATAGTATCTGTTAACTGTTGGAAAGTCACCCATCAGATTAAAGTATTATTTTGACAACTTGGAAGTTGGACTCGATGATCATTATGGGTCCCTTCCAACTCGAGATATTCTGTGATTCCTTTTTAAAATGCTCTCCATGAAGTTTCATTGACAAGACAGTTGAACTTACCTTAGTTTGGAAGAAATAAAAAATAGATGTAGATGTTAATGGTGACATTAAGTTGTTAGGCTATGAATCTCGGTATGAAAGAGATTAAAATAAAAATAGATTTTTTTTTCCCTAATAATATTTAAAGTGTGCTAGTAAAGAGCAATTTTAGTTTCCTTTTCTTATATTTAGATTTCATTAAAATATTGACAACAACAAAATGAGAATAAATACTGCCATCGGTAACAAAAAAGAATACTTGGACTAATGTAAAGGTGTAGATACATAAGAAGATAAAATTCAAAAAGGTAGTGTGTTTACCTGTGGAGGAGAGAGTGTAGTTTTATATATGGATAGCAATCAAGGTTAGAATGTGGCAGCAACTTTTTGCCATGTATTTTCAATTTTACAAGAAATAGAAGAGGAATATGTTTACTGTTGCAATAAACAAGAGAGAGCAGCTTATTAAATAGGTGGAATATGAGGAGCTGTGGAGAGCTATGAAGACATAGGTGCATCACAGATTCATTGACAAGTACTGAATTAAAATACTTCATGCAATTCAAATTTTAGCAGTTAATTAATTAATTATAAATATAATCCATTATGATTTATTTCTGTATCATTATAGATATTTGTGGTTGCTAATTTCCTTGAGGTTAAAAAAAAAAAAAAAAAAGTAGTAGTAATGTTATGTCCAAGGAAAATGGATTTCTTTTAACTGAGTTTTCAAGAAAAGGTTATGATTCCTGATAGCCTTTACCTGGTTACATGTGCGGAGATGGTGGCTGGTCGCTATAGCGGTGCTTGTCAAGAGCAGTGTCAAGTGCGTATATGTTGTCTTCTGGTTTTGTTGTGAATTATTCTTGGAAAATGATGCACATAAGGCAGGTTTTAGTCTCAAGGTAGCACAGCAGTGTGCTATCAGTGAACTTGTTTAGACTCAGCTTTGGTGTCAGAGGTACCATAGTGTAGAATAAGCCTCACCCAGTGAACAAAAGTTGCTAGGGTAAACTATTTCAAGCAGATGTTGTTTTCAAGGAGGGATTAATACATTTTAAAAGGTACCTATATTTAGACGCACTGGTGGTAACAATGCTTGTGACCTGAAAATTGCCTCTTGTGGGGTCTACTCAGTGATACTATTGCAAATGAAATTTTTAATTGTGCATTACTGATTGACTTGGAAGTCTATGTCCATTTTGTCATATATTTCAAAATACAGAGCGTGCAAGCCGTGTGCCATACAGAGGGCTTTCAGCCATCTCGGAGGATCAAAGGTGTGTTCACACCTACATCTCTCCTTGAGCTCTCATAGCAATAGTAACTGAGTTCTGTAGTTGTCAGCCTATGTGTGGTCTGCTAATTTAGTCCCATGTCCAAGTGATCAAATACCTGCCTAAAATTGTTCTAAAACACAGTTTGCAGCCTAAAGCAGGACTCAGACTAAGAAGATGAGAGCTACAAGAAGACACATGAGTCTGTGCCCCAGATATTTCACATTTGGTCAGAAGTAGCCTCATTGTCATGACGATTTTTCTGCAGGGTTTGTCAAATGAGCATGATGTTAATTATGTAGTGGGGACATTATCAGTAATTGAATTATGAGAAGGAAAATAGAGGGATCACAGTATTTTCCTACATTTTTGCAAATACCATTAATTATAAATAGCCACTGATTACATGATTATCTGAAACTGCACTTACATTGTGTACTTTTCGTAAATAGAAACTTTGAAAACTCCTGATGACAACAACAGATAATTAACTTTTTGTTAGCTTTTCTGTAGTGCAGCATTCTTGCCAATGCCATTCTTTCTTCCAGGGATCTGCCAATCAAGTAAAAACTTAGTAGACTGTTGGAGTTAAAGGTGTCTGCCCCACATTTTCTTGTCTGCCTTCATCTTGGCCATTTTGCTCGCGTCTTCTGTTGCTTTGTCCATCTTGCCCATGCTTCCAGCTCTCTGACCCTTTTTTCTCTTTTATTTGTTGTTGTTTTGTTTTAATCTCTCCCTTCACCTCTCTGCTTCTATCATTTCAACTCCTCCCTTCTGCTAGGATTCCCTAAATGTAGAGGATCTCTGACTTCTGCTGGGCTCTGGTGTGAGACTGAGGATCTCTGATTGTCTTTCACAAAGGTTCACGTTTATATAAGGCTGTTTAGCTTTGCCAGACCTCCCAGAACGGTGAGTGATAACTGAGCAGGGTATGGTACCAGGAGCAGAATTAACTCAGGAAACAATTTGTAGAAGAACAGGGTAAGACTCTGAAGCTGTGCTTCAAACCTTTGGAGCTGTGACTCACAAATGAAGTGGGTTTAAATAACTGGTAATTCAGTGTCTGCAAGAAAGCAAAGCCAGGAATATCACTCTGACCTCCTTTCTGACCAGAGCTAAATCTGAATACTTGTTGATTTTAGGTATTTTTATTTAACTTGGACAGATGGAGTTAATCTGCAAAGTATATATATAGTAATTTGCCAATAGCTGTATTTATTCTGTGTAAAAATTAAGCCCTTGAGCAGTACACTGTTAAACAAGTTCTGCAAAAAAGTTGAAAACAAGGAAACGCGTCAGTGTTTTCTGGGTGAAATACCATCTTGCACTTTGGGAAAAGACCCCGCCGTCACTAAGATTTGGGAGAAAGCTCTTCTGTGTAGTTGGGCACTCAGCATTTTCTGTGCCGTGACAGGGACTCACTGCTTCACCTGGCGTGTACAGGAGATGGACAGTGTTTGAAGGATTCGATAAAGGCAAAAGAGGAAGGCTCGCACAATCTGGGGACGCATACATGATGGGCAGAGATGATGTTTGGCATTTCAAAGTACACAGGCCAGCAGTGAATTTATCGGTTAGCGAGAATCAGCAGCATGCACACGTTCTCAGAGCTGCCTCTTCACAAGGGCGCTGCGAATTCGGAGGGACCCTTTGAAGAGCAGCGGATGGTGAATGGGATTAAGGCAGATAAACGCTTCCTTAATTTTTAATTGGAAACAGATGCAAAAGGCAGTGGATTAACAGGAATAGTGACATTAGCTCTGAGAGAGCAGCTATGGACAAAGCAAATTGTGAAGCTCAAAGTGTTTGATGGTGATTTTATAACTAGTGAGGGAGTGTGTCAGCTAACAGCAGGCAAACATCTAATTGAAAAAGATCACTTGGAAGAGGGTAAGTACCCATTTTGGGGCTTAAAGTGTACCAAAGCTTTGGTCTGAGCCAAAGGACGCATTCATTGGACACAAACGAGGCCCTCTGATCTTTCAGAGAGTATGGCTCGTTCAGCTCCATGCAGAGATATCTAGAGGGTTAAGACACCAACTGTCCAACCATTACTCATACTCCTGGGAAAACTCCAGCAGGCTCACCACTCTGAGAAAAAGCAGAGAAAGGGAGAGATGTTGTAATAAGAGGATAAAAAAAATTTAAAAGTTAGTTTAGTGTACTTTCTAAATGTGTGAAGAATAAATACCTTCCACTAACTTTGAGAGAGGATTTTATGGAAATAGTTGACATGTAGTATTTTTCTGTGTTTTATAGTAGGGCTGTAAGTTGCCTTTACAAAAAAAAAAAAAAAAAAAAAGAATTTTTTTTTTCCTCCATTCACTATTTAATATGAGAGGCACTTTTCCTTTGTGCTTTTTCAAGTTGTTCTGGCACCCCAGGAAAATATTGGTGGGAAAATAGAGGAGACAAGGCTTCAAGGAGCTTTAGAAAAACATAGATGTAAAGTTCTACTAGTAGCATTGCAAAAGTAACAAAAATAGCCCACCTGGAAGAAAAGTTAATGCAGCGAGATGAGCAGGTAGTATATCTGATGCTGCAAAGGAGGGCTGCAAGATTGCTTGAAATGATAAACTGTCTCGAAAAATGCGTAACTTACCTAGCCAAGTGACACATGCATGGATGTCAAGTGAACCCAGTATGCTCATCCTATTGGGAAAAAATTGGCAAATGATTGCAGTTAATAAAGAGAAACTCATGACTAAGAGATAGAAGTTTAAATGTGAAGTTGCCCGTGAATGCCGCTGCTAAAGGCATTGACTTCAGTCCCTGACCAAAAACGGAGACTAGTGACATATGTGTCGTGAGCAGTGGCAAAATTTAGTGTCAATATAGTCAAATAAGGGAGGCAGTTTTATGTCTTTAGCAGCAGTGAACTGAAACTGATTATAACTGACCTACTGCCATTAGTAAAAAGAGCCTGGGAAAACCTATTTGTCCTTCAGCTCATGAAAATAACACCAATATTTATTTTTTTCAGATGGTAGGTAAGATTTGCTATCGGCATTTCAGCAAGAGAGAGCAAAAGTGGTTGCAGAAAGACATGGGAGCACTTTTTATTACAGGCATCAGAAAAGTTGATTTGTGAGAAAGTAAGAAAAATATTGAAAT